CAGTACAAGGTCAAGCAGCGTTTTACCTCTTGTCGGCCTGTAGACTTCCTGCGTCAGATAGAGGTCAGACACATGAGAGAAAGCTTTGCAACTGCTCAAATTTGGCCGAGTGCTCCTCCCACAAGATGACAGGGTAGTTAAAGTCTCCCATGACAACCATGCACCAGGAGCGTGAGGCCTCAGCCAGTGCCCTGGTGAACTCCTGGTCAAGGTCTTGACCCTGGGTAGGGGGTATGTAGTAGACCCCCACCATAGTATCCCCTATGCTGTGTTCCCCACGGATTTTAACCCAGAGGGTCTCAAGTCGTCCACCATGGGTGCCAGTGTCGGCTTGCAGGGATGCGTAGCTTTCCTTAACATAGAGATACACCTCTGCCCCTTTTGTCCACTCTCGATGAGGCTAGACGCTCCTGTACAGGGTATAGGTGTCTATACCCATGGCCCAGTCATGGGTGGAGTCCCACCAGGTTTCCGTTATCCCAATAACATCATAGTTATTTGCATTTAGCAGGAGAACAAGTTCCCCCTGTTTATTCCCCAGGCTCCTGGCATTTGTGTATGTGCGTGCAAGTGTCCCCTTGGGGGTCCTTGACCTGCCTACATTTTGTTCCAGGGCTGGGGCTGGGATGGGATCCCTTAAGTGCCTTGGCCTGCTGGCTCTGCAAGGGCGGCTCAGTGGGCCAGCAGTGGCATTAGTCCCCCCATCTGCTGGCGGGCTTAGTTTAAAGTCTTCATTGTTTTCAGCATCGCAATGGTTGATGGACCTTTCCTGGAGGTGGCATAGCTGTTTTGATGTGCTCCCCTGAGGCTTCTCTGCCTTTGCTTCTCTCAGTCACTTCCTCTGGCAGTTTGCTGCTGAAAATTCTTTCCATTGATTAGGCAGCTTTTCTTCTTGTATGTATTTCCTGCAGATTTTTGGAGAAAATAAAGAGCTACTTCTCTTAACACAGTAATATACGTGAATTCATGCTGGATTAATGACTGAGTTTTGATGATGCAATTCACAGTTCAAATAGCAATAACAGTCGCATGTTATACAGTTCCCCTTCACTTATATTTTTATTTTATGTCTGTGATCATACCCTTACATCCCTATCTAATGATTATAGTATTTTTGCTGCTATACTATAAGATTATATATTTTTGCTATTCGTATATATGCTTCTTTACATGTAGGGTTTAAGTTTTTGGACAATGAAAACCAGAGTATCCACAGTGGCACATCCAACCTTGTTTGCTGTCACTCTTATCATTTTTGCCAGATCCACAGTTTTCACCAAATTGACTGCAAGATGAACATGGGCTGACAATGTGAGGTCACGGTTGGAAGGGCTAACCGGACCTTGTCGTGCATCCACAGGTGCATCTCAAGTAGGGCCAAGGAGGTGATCCTCCCCCTCTATGCAACACTAGTCAGGCCGCAGGTGTAGTACTGTGTCCAGT